GCAAAATTCAAAAACAAACAAACAAACAATACCACCTGAGGAGTGCTGCCGGAGCACTCAGGAACGACGTTCCCGCTCCTGAAGTTCGTTAATTACAGAAATTGTGGCAAGGTTCGGCACTATAAAAATTTAGCACTATACCAGTAGTCAATACTCAGATATCATTACAATTCTATATAAGTTTACGTTGTATGTTTGTTTATCAGTGAACGCTTCCCATCCCACAGTTTTGGAGCTTGCAGGACCAATCTTTGCAAGCGAACTTGGGATGGCCCAGGGGTGTTTATATCGATAGGGCACAGCCCCCCCCCTACCAAGGGGAATAAAACAAGCCCGGAAAGTCACCCAGGAATAATGAGTGAATGAATATTGGTAGGTTTTAGGGTTGCTGAACCTGAACTCGACACAGATTTTTGTGTTTTTGATTCCCCTTGGGATCGCAGAACTGCCATGTTTGAATCTGCGTTCATGCCCCATGTGATCAGGTACCACGGGTATCCTAATTTCTATATAACCCTATTGAGATTATGGAGGAACTTGATAGATACACTGGGCCTTTGTGAATAATGAGGGGCCTTCCATCCCCACAGTGGAAAGTGGGTATGTTATGCTAGTTACATTTAATGAGTATTACTAAGATTCATTTTTGACGCAATAATATAAAACAATAAGGGGTGGGGTAACGTTCTACCGAATAAATTAAAACACGGGGTGATGAATACACATAACAACACTGATGTTAAACTTGCTGCACAGCGCAATAACTTCAAACAAAGAAATATACGTGAGTCTATAGAAATATTGAAAAGGAAAAAATCAATTTGACTATTTTCGGATATTTGCACAGAACTACTCAAGAGCAATTTGCGCATAGTCTCCCTAACTTGAACTGATAAACTAAAGGGAAATCAACTAGTCAACAGCAATCCTCCACCTAATTGTTTGATCATATAGTGGTATTTGACAGTTACTCTTATAATGCATTCACGGCCCCAAATAGAGGACGAAATTTGTGTGGCAACGAGTCGCGAACCATGAATTCTCGGAGTCACAGTCTGGGCACATTAACTCATGGTCTAATCCCGGCCAAATGACATATATGTGTATTTTAAAAACGATAAACTATATGAAAAATAGTCTTAATAACGTTCACACGTGAAAAATAAAATCACAACCACACCTATTAGATAATATTTTATTTCGATGAAGATTAATTAAGACAATTAGGGTACAATACACGCGCATATGCAAAAGTGAATGCCCCTCTACACGGTTAGGTTAAAAGACAAGAGGGAATCCTCAATAACCGCGGCTGTAATTAGATCTGAAATCGGTCAAGAGATGGAGCTATGAGCTAAAAGTTTGTACCGCTACTAAAAATTACGGATATTGTATGCTCATCGTCAGGAGAGAAACGGTGGAATGAAAGGCATTTGACAACTTGGGGTATTTTTCTTTATTACTTTACTTTAAATTGAATACAGTATATCAATACATAATTGATTATATGTAAATATGTAAAACAAGCCACCCAACGTAGCGATATAAAAACATAATACATTACATATTTTCGTGTTTACTTCATCACAGAAACAAAGCAACTCACATGCACATCACAATTGTTGGTTTGCCTCTACTTTTGTGCTGCCATCTGTCGACTTTATAAAGAATACGAACTATGGACTCAACTTTAGGTGGAGCTATGTCTTCTTTCTGCCAGCCACGCAAATGAAACATCTTAATCGTCCTAGACGTTTGATTCTATGCATACAAAAGACAAACAAACCAAAATGAGAATCGGGTTAGAGGCAGTCGATTTTGAACAAAGTACTAAAAAGTTTTCAATATACAATATAGAAATGATAAAACACAGGAAAAAAAGTTTTTACAGAAGTTTTTCTCATTGTATTCCGTTAACACGCCAAGCTCTTATTACACAAAAAGGATGTTTGTATTATGATTTTATATTACAGCGCGTATAAAAAGGACATGAGGCCATGGGGGGGACTAGCCCCCAGCTAAAAAAAATCGCTAAGGAGAGACCCCTAGCTACATGGAAAAGGGGGTTGAAGGGAGTTGAAATGGTATTATAGGATAATTGAAAATTTTTGGAGAAACTAGAATGAGAAGAATACGATTATACATGAAAACTGGTTTTTCACTGAAATTGCAGCTAATTGTTCACAGTGGAGTAGATATGGAAGCGAGGTGCTTGACGAACCTTTTACCTAGTCACACAAAGATCGTATGTCTTCCTAACTTTTTCTTCTGTAATATATAGTATAAACTTAATAAAATGTTACACTGGATAGTTGAATTTGTAGTCTTCTAAAAATAATGATCTAGAGAGTTAGGCCTTGATGAAAGATATTGGATTTGGGAATTTGGCAATAGCTGGATTTTTTTTTTGATGTGACTGAAATATTGAAAAAATAAAATAAAAGTCTATTTTACACGGCCCATAAAAAAAATAAGACAGTTCTACTTGGTTACAAGGTTTGGTTTAAACGGTTACAAGGTTTAATTTAAACCAGAGCTTTCCTTTGTGATATAGATATAAAAGAAACATCCCAAGTCTTTGTTAATTTATCAAGTCTAATACATAGACTTTTAACAAAGTTGTTTTTCACAACCTCAATGTACTAACAAAAGGAAACAGAGTAGAACCGTAAAGTTGTGCTCACTAGAGAATGCTGTAAACCTAACCATCGGATAACACTTTTATTCGGTTCGTTTGTTTGTTTTAGAGCAAAGCCATATTGGGCTATTTACTGTGTCCACTGAGAAGAATCGAATTCCGAATTTTAGCGTTATAAGTCTGTAGACTTGCCGTTATTCTGGTGGGAGACGTATTGGGGTTTGGATAGGATTTTTCACCAAGACTAAAGCGAAAATAAACATTTGATTTCAGACGTTTCGGATTATATATATGATCCATTTTCAGTGGCTCTCTCTAAAAACAATTAAGTTGTGACGTTAATGTAGCCAACTAAAATTGAAAAATATAATGAAATTTAATATATACACACGTATAATAGGGAGAGAAAGAAGGAAAGAAAGAAATAGGAGTGAATAAAGAGAAATGAATAATTAAGGGAGTTTTTATTTATAGGAGCTAGTCTACATTTAGATTAGCAACATTTCTTTGATAATTCAGTGTCAGATGTGCCTAATTTTAGAATTTTGAAGCTCTCCACAGTGATATGGATGGCCAGTGTTGTCTTTTTGAATGAGTGTTGTTTCGCAACACGTAAGAATAACAACCCGAATAAACGATAATTCACGCGCTTAAATGAAAACGTTTTCTAGTTTATTTTGTGCGTCGTTTCGAGCAGATGTTCTACGTCAGGTAGTAAAGGCCGCTTTACAATGGAATCAGACTAGTAGAGAATTGTTGAAAGGTCGATCCATTGTAACGGGCCCGGCATGGCCAGGTGGTGCGGGTCGCGGGTTCGAATCCCAGTCCCACCAAACATGCTCGCCCTTTCAGCCGTGGTGGCGTTATTATGTGACGGTCAATCCCACTATTCGTTGGTAAAAGAGTAAGCCCAAGAGTTTGGCGGTGGGTGGTGATGACTAGCTGCCTTCCCTAGTCTTACACTGCTAAATTAGGGACGG